ATGGTACGTTGCGTTGTACCAAAATTCCTTCCAAGAGAGCCAATTTGGCCATTGTTTAAGCTGGGAACTGCAGAAACATCTCAGATATGCCTCTAAACACCGATTGACCACTTCGGTTTGGCCATCCGTTTGTGGGTGGTATGTGAAACTAAACTTGAGAGAAGTCCCCGCTGCTCTAAAGATTTCCTGCCATAATTGACTCATAAAGAGTCGATCTCAATCCGAAACTATAGACTTGGGAAATCCATGGAGCTTAACAATTTCCTTTGTGAATATCGTAGCAACCTCCTTCGCACTAAAAGGGTGAGACCAGAGGATAAAGTGGCCGTATTTGGTGAGTCGATCAACCACCACGAGGATACTATCGAACCTTTTAGCTCATGGTAAACCTCCAATAAAATCCCTCGTCAAGTCATCAAAGACTTGCTAAGGTATAGGCAAAGGCTGTAAAAGCCCGGCTGGCTTGATGGCTGAATACTTATTGACTTGGCAAATAGTGCAAGCCTTTAAAAACTCTTGAACATCTTGCCTTATCCCTTCCCAATAAACAATGTTTGCCACCCGTTTGTAAGTCCTGAAAAACACTGAATGCCCTCCAACTGGGCTGGAATGAAATTCTACCTAAAGTTTAGCTATGAATCTGGAGCCTTTTGGTAAAACAATTCTGTTTTTGTACAAAAGACACCCCTGCCTAAGTCTATAGTGTGGGTGGCTGTTAGGGTCAAAGAGAAGGTCCTGAATGATAGGCAGTAACTTGGGATCTTGTTGTGCTTCACTAGCTAGATCTTCATATTCTGTAAACTATACTACTAAGATGGTGTTCAAATCTGGTCCCTCCACTCTTCGTGATAAAGCATCTTCCACTTTGTTTGTTTTTCCCGGCTAGTAGTGAATGTCAAAAGAGAACCCCGTTAGTTTGGACAGCCACTTTTGTTGTTCAAGAGTTTTAATTCGTTGGTTAGTGAGAAATTGCAGACTCTTTTGGTAAGTTTTGATGACGAATCGTTTGCCCAATAGATACGGGCTCCAATTATGCACTGCAAAAACGATGACCATTAGTTCTCGTTCATATACTAACTTCTGTTTGGCTTGTGGTGAAAAGGCTTTGCTTAGGTAAGCTATGGGTCTTGACTGCTGGACCATAATTGCTCCCATTTCGTGACCTAAAGCATCAGTCTGCACTTCAAAGGGAAGTGCAAAGTTTGGAACTGCTAAGACTGTAACCGTAGTCATAGCTTCCTTGAGTCTATCAAAAGTCATTTGAGCTCCCTCATTCCAACTAAATGAATCTTTTTTAAGCAAATCCGTAAGTGGTTGTGCAATACTGCCATACCCCTTGACAAATTTTTGGTAATACCCCGTGAGGCCTTAATATCCCCTAGACCTTTGGCATTGGTCGGAACAGGCCACTTAACCATTGCCTCCATCTTGTGAGGATCTGCTTCCACTGCTTGTGCTGAAATTATATGGCCTAAATAGTCTAGTTTCTGCTGACCAAACAGGCACTTCTTCTTGTTCATTACTAGTTCGTTGTCTTGTAGAATCTTAAGGGCTTGTTCGAGATGGATCACATGGGAATCAAGATCAGGACTGTAAATCAGAATATCATCAAAGAAGACCAGCACAAAGTTCCTCAAAATAGGTTTAAAAATAGCATTCATCAGGGCTTGAAAAGTTGATGACACATTAGTCAGGCCAAATTGCATAACTAAGAACTCATAGTGACCGTCATGAGTTCGGAAGGCCGTTTTGTGAATATCATCCTCCTTCAATCGAATCTGGTGGTATCCAAATCGCAAATCAAGCTTCGAAAAGAAAACAGCCCCAACTGATTCATCCAACAACTCCTCGATAGTGGGTATAGAAAACTTATCAGGGATAGTTATCTCATTAAGTGCCTTATAATCAACACAAAACCTCCAACTCCATCCTTCTTCTTGACTAGTAACACTGGGCTGGCAAATGGGTTGGTGCTAGGCTGAATGATCCCTGCTACAAACATTTCTCCCACCATTTTCTCTATTTTATTTTTTTGGGAAATAAGGATATCTATAGGGTCGTATATTGGGTGGTCAAGCTCCCTCTTGCAGGACTATGGCATGGTCATGTTGTCAGTGTGGGGGTAGTTTAGTGGGTTGGTCAAACAATTGGTTATACCCTTCCATCAATGATACAATCCTAGGGTCAGTAGGTTTTTCATTTTGTTCTGGCACATATTCAGTAGAGCAAAATTCAACTAAATAGCCTCCTCCGGTGGAATAGAGTGACCTTAACATGGCTTTTAGAGATACCACTATCTTAACCAGGGATGGATCTCCCTGTAGGCTCACCCTTTTACCTCCCAATTCAAATTTCATTGTCAGGTTCTTCAAATTTGCGCAGACATCACCCAATGAACTCAACCACGTCACCCCTAATACCGCATCAGCTCTACCCAAATCAAAAGGGAAAAAATCTTGGGTAATCTTAATGCCTTGAACCTGCAGTTGCACTCCCCTACAAACACCTTCTCCTCTCACCGTGACACCATTACCTACCATCACCCCAAACTTTTTTCCTTTTTCAATTCACATGCCCAGTTTGCGCACCAAGTCGTGCGAAATAAAATTGTGGGATGCCCCACTATCAACCAACGCAATAACCCCTACCCCTTCAATCTCTCCCTTAATTTCCAAAGTCTTGTCAGATGTGATTCTGACGATAGAGTTCATGGACAAGGCTAGAGAGTTACCTTCAGTAGTGGGTTCTTCATCATTGTCTAGTGGTGTTTCGCTCTTCTCTGGATCCTCATCTTCCCATGCTAGCAAGATTTGTAGAGATTTACTCCTACATCGGTGGTTAGGGCTAAACTTTTTGTCACACCTAAAACAAAGCCTTTTCTCCCTTCTGAGTTGAATTTCCGCTTCAATTAGCCTTCGAAAATTTTCCCCTCTAGAGCTCGAAGCTATCATCACCAATGGAATATCGCTCCTGTTGATAGAGCGATTTGACGAAGAATAGGTCTCGCCTAAGTTTTTAGTGGTATTGGACCACCAACTGGGTCATCCAACCTCTGGGCTTGGAAAGACCTGTGAGTACCCTTCCATTTTTACATTATGGTGGTTTTAGTAATTTTAGGCCTAATTTCATCCAGCATCTAGTTTTTTTCTTCAACACGATGGGCTTGTTCCATCACTTCACCCAAATCCTTGGACTGTATGAGTCACAATTCAGCTCTGATTTCTTCCTTCAGTCCATTTACGAAGATACCCATTAGCATCTCTTCTCCCATTTCCTTCAATGGAGATGTATGTGCTTCAAATTCTTTGCGATACTCTATCACCGATGCAGTCTGTCTCAGTGCTACCAGTGCCTCATAGGCTGTCCCTTGAAAGGATGGTCTGAATCTGGCAATTAAAGCAGCTTTGAAATCCTTCCAATTCTAGACTGGTCTCTGAGATTCAAGCCATTGATACGAGTTTAAGGCTCTTCCTTCCATGCACATGGTGGTGGCTTCCACCATCTCCTTTTCTTGATATCCATTAATGGCAAAATATATGTCATCCTTGAAAGTCTAGCCAAAAGGATCATCTCCGTTAAAAATGGGTTGCTCGAGTTTGCGAATTTTTTTATCGTCCTTCCCATTATCCCCACTATGATTTTGTTCATATCCCTTATCTCTGCCGGAACTCTGATTTTCTGGAGTTACACACATTTTCTCCTTCTCCTGATAACGTTTCTCCTCCCTTTCCTCCCTCAACCTCATCAATTCTCGCATCTCAGTTAAGTACTCCTTGACACTACCTAAGTCGGTCTTCATTGTGCCCATATCTTCCTTCACGGTTCTCATCTCCTTTTCCACATTTTCCATTATGTTCTCCATTTGGGATTTTACCATTACCCAATCTAGCTATGATACCAAATTGATGGAACCACCTGTTCAATTAACTCAATCCAACCATAACACACGAGCAGAAATGAAAGTAACACACAACCTGATAAAACTGATTGTTATTATTGTATACTAAAAGAAATAGCAACATCAAGAAAGAGTGACCACAGATCAATCCCCAGCAATTCGAGGAGCTAGGAGCCTACCAAAATACCTATAAGAATTTATTTGATACCTCCTTTACCACTCTGTAGCTATTTATACCCAAATACTTACTAAACTAACCTTACTCTAACAAACTTTATTCTATCTAGCCACTTGCATGCAGAATCCCATAACAAACTCTCACTCACACTCATTACCCCCTTAGTGCTCTTTTTACGACCCCTCGACTTATAGACCAAATTAACAAGAGGTGGTCTATCAGAAACTATGATTGTTTTCGCTCTATTAATTGTATCGAGTTCATGGTATTGTGTACACTTGTATATCATGTTCATGAAACTACCGTAAATTTCTCTCATCCGTAGATGTAGGTGAGTTATGCCGAATCAGGTAAATATCGTGTTTCTTTATGTGATATGATTTTATTCCTATGTTATTTATCTCGAATTAAGTATATTTCCGCTAGGGCACTCTCTTAACACTATTGAGTCGGGAATCATGGAGGACGTGGGCCTCTCAGTGGCAGCAGTAAGTATTTATGTTCTCTATCATTACCCCTTGTATGTTACAAGCAAACCAATTTGTCAACTAAATTTTATACTGATTAAATGTTCAACCTGAATGGCATAATGCATCTTTATGTCTGCCAAGTACTCTCTTTTTGGTTCAATAATGACAATTGCAGGACTGGTTGGTTCATTAGTTTGGTCACCATCTGAACCTAGGAGACCCCTACACTTCCAATAATAAGACTAGCAACAATCCGTTACCATTCATTTCCTTTATACTACTATAAAAACTTTTCAGCAGCATCAGTAACGCATTGATTGAGCAAAGCCATTATTACATTTTCCTTACAGACTGCAAAATGATTACTCTTAAGTTCAAAGATACGATTAAGGTACACACATCTGACTGAGGATTAGGAACATAATTCAAAATAGCTTAAAGAATGTCCTCTAATGACCGTTAAATCACAGAAAGCTACCTTGCTTGCTGATCACCATAAACTGGTTCGTAGGGAGCAGATGTCTTATCCTGCACAAAATAGAACATACCACTGTAAGCACACGCTAGCATAAAGAGACATCTTCTCAAGAGTAGATTAAGAAGAACATAAAAACGATATTTATCTTTTGTCAAAAAGAAGCTATTATCTAGAGACTGATAAATGGAAAAGATGCATATGATGATCTAGTCCACTAACCTCGAGATGCTTAAATGTTGTAGTATCAGGAGGGACCACACCATTCTTTTCCCCAGCTTCAACAACCATATTGCATAGTGTCATGTGCTCTTCCATCTGTCCATTACAATACGAGCAGAGCAATTAAATTCATAATTCTTCATAATATAAACAAAGAAAAAGAAGCATCTGCAGACAGAAACTCAAGAGTAACCTGATATCCCTGCAAGTAGAGGTAAACTTAAGTTTACTTACAGTTAAACTTTCAACAGTTGAGCCAACGAACTCCATAGATTTATATGTTGCACCAGCCACAGATATTTCACCAATTATCTGCAAAGTGACAATAACTTTAAACACAGTAGAAAAGGGAAGCTCGGTCATCCAAGAATAACTGTAAAATTCTCAAACTCAACAAGCTGTGAGGATGTGTTTATTTCCATTGAAAGAAAAAAAATCAAGACCCAAATATACTTGTAAAATTAAATCCTTTGCAAGCAAATAATAGGGCATTTCACCATCCATTACAAATGTAAGGGTTGGGGGCACCTGCAATTTATAGATAGAACCATGAGAGAATTAGTTAAATCAATCAAGCACAAGAGAAATGAGTAAACAGATTTAAAGATATGTTTTAGTTTTAAGGATTTACTAAGCATATATCTCAAACAAATTAAAAAGACTAGGTGTTTCTTTTAGTAATTACATAATTTGTTGAGTAATTAGCTGCAAACAAATAGATCATATATATCCATGAAAATTTGAACTTACAGCAGTAAAACTGTGTCACTGTAATTGTTCTATGGAGATGCAGCAGTGAACAAAAGTGGTTTAATCTGATAGGCTTCCAAAGTACAGATTCTAATCTACCAAGAATATGGGAGTCTAAAAAGGAGATACAGATTTAATGTACAAATTTTCCAAACAATAAACTACGCACACTTAAATTTATCAAAATGTTTAACAGATATGCAACCAAGGGAATAAGCAGATTTTTTCCACCTCAGAGGAGATTGGTAAGAAAGAAAAAGGGAATATATACAACTTCAATACTAATAAGTAATAACAGTGATTTTATGGCATTTTATTAAAAGGCCATATGAAGTTCAAGTTTCAGTAAAAGGTCATGTAGTTTGAAAGTATTAAGTAAATAGTCTTGTAATTGATTAAGGTTAATTAAACATGATTAGTGGTTAATTAGGATTAATGAAGTATTGTGTAATCTTTTAAAAATTATAATAGTCCCCAAAGAGCCAAAATTCTTGCAAACAAACCCAAACACCTTCTTCTTCTTCCTCTCGCCATTAACGCATCTCTCCCCTGGTTGTTGTTTCTTCTAAGCTTCATCTACATCTTCTTCTTCTTCTGCATCTTCTTCTTTGTCTACATCTTCTTCTTCCTATACATTTCTTCTTCCTTCGTTTTGTAAATCTTCTTCTTCCTACCATTAACACTATCTTCTTCCTCCGCCATTAACATTTTCTCTGCCACAGATCCTCCTTCTCCTCCTCCTCCTCCTCCTGACATTTCTTCCAGGTATGTGTATCTCCCCTTTCCATTTTATATTTCGATTTACAAAGACTTAATGATGGATTGGGTTTGGGTTATGATTTTGATTTAATTATTTAGGTTGTTGGGTTGTGTTTGATGTAATGGAAGTTGAATGGAGTGAAATTTGTTGAATATATTCTTGTATTGTGGGTAGCTGGGGGTGGTAGCACCGATTGTAGGTAGATGGTAGCGTGCCGAATGCTCCAAATTAATAACCTTACTAACCTAACTACTAAATTGCATATAGGGTAAGCAAAGGTCGATCCCACGGGGAATGATTCGATTAAATCCTATATTCTAACCAATAACCACAACGAAAACAACAGAAAAATAAAATAAAATAAGATCCTAAACAGTAAACATGACAACAAAATAATGAAAGGGGTTGTAGACAATGCAATCTAAAGTGAAACGAATAAATTTCCAATGGTAGAAAAATATCAGATTAAAAACAACCAGTTCTCGGTTCAAGATCCACCTAAACATGCATTGGACATGAACTAACCGTAACATTATTCTATCTCGTTATTATGGAATTATTGACCCTAGGAAACAACAAGCTCTGTTACCCGAATTTTCCCTTAATTGTCACAACTGAAATAAGCTCTTTAATGAGATCGTCACCCTTGAACAACCTAGAATAAGCTCTCTAAGTTTAATTCAATGGCAGCCTTAAGAATTAGGAAAATAGATCAATCCAAGCAACAATCACGCAAGATCGGATTATTATTTTACTTAAATTATGTTATTCAAGGTGACAGATTGAGAACTTTTCCGTAATCATCTATCATCATGTGTTACTCATTAAATAGAAAGAGGACAGTTATGTATCACAATTCCTAATTCTAATAGATAAAATTCGTATTAAACAATTTAGCAGGCCATTACTGAATCACCCAAACAAGAATCATAAACAATTAAAACAGAATAACATAAACAAATCCAATAAGAATGAGATTAAGAACAATGTTGCTGAAGTTAAGTTACACCAATGACATGAATTCAGGCTTCAAAATCCCCTTGAACTGAAGAAGAAAGATCAGTCGCCCATATTGATGTAGAAAGTAAAAAAAAACAAAACAAAAACCTCCACTGCCGTTCTCCCTCTTTTTGTTTAACCTAACAACTCATAAATAAATAATGTGTTTTCCTCAATTCTGCCTCAGGAAAAATGAAAATTACTTTCCTAGGCGTTTCCTAAATGATAGACTTCCAAAACTGTCAATTCCTTGTCAGATATGGAAAATAGAATTCGTAATCCAGATTGCACCAGTATTCTCACAATGTAAAAGAACTTTTCTAGGCTTGGTCACTTCATATAAGTTGTAGTCTTGGATGTGTAGATGAATTTGGGCTTTTGATTCACCTGCTTTCGATATCTGAAGCTCCAGTTAGGCCGATTCGAAGACTCAATACTCAGCCAGGAAATCCTTCCGCGAATAGGATTCCAGGTCCGGTTTTGCAACAACTAATGAGGGCCTAAACGAACTTGGATTCTTTCCCATAATACGTTTCTCTAAGGCTTGATTCGTCTACTTTACTTTTTCTGAAGAACACTTTTGCAATTGAAAAATCTGACTCCATGAAAAACCTGAAAAACGCAGCACTTGTCAAAATAACAAAAAATTTGGAATTTCCTAATCTTTTCTCAATTATTTCATAAAGTCTATCCAATTATGTCAAACTTACAAAATAAACTCTAATCAACTCAACTAGGCATAAAATATAACAAAAAGCATATTATGGAAGGAATAAAAAAATATATAAATTACACTCTTATCAGTAGAGATGACTGAAAATGTATTCTGGATATGATGGAGCACTTAAGCAATCTAGTATGTCTGGTATAATGCAGCAGATCGTAGATCACTTAAGCGATCAGGTATATGACAGAAGATCGCTTAAGCAATCTGCTATAAGTCTATGTATGGTAGCAGATCACTTAAGCGATCAGGTAAATGGCGTAAGATTGCTTAAGCAATTAGGCTTATTTATACCAGATCACTTAAGTGATCCAGTAAACGATATACCAGATCGCTTAAGCGATAAACCAGATCGCTCAAGTGACACTGCAAATGCTTTTTAAAATCTTTTAACCCTTAATACATCAATTAATAATATATTTTTTTTCTTGCATTATAGGTACTTGGCTATTATTAGACATGGGACAAGTTGTTTTGGGTGTTGAATATTTTGGTGAGTGGGTGGAGGAAGAAAGTTGCTGGAAGTGGATTGGGAAGAGCAAAGAAGTTATACCAATTGCTGTGAGCATAGAGGTTAGTTTTGAAGAATTGATTGATAAAATAATTAGAAGAGGTGATTTGAGTTGCTCACATAGTGATATAGTTGTGAAGTATGTCTTAAGTAGAGTTCTTGAACATTATAAGGTACCTCCTACTATATTAAAGTCGGATGAAGGTGTGAAGTTATATATGATTGATATGGCCAATAATGGTTCAAGACCAATTTTAAGGGTTTCTTTTGTAGATAAACTGTTGGAAGTTGGTTCAAAGGAAGAGGATAACGAGGAAGTTGGCGAAGAGAATGCTATTTTAATTTGAACTACGAGGGCATTGATTTGTTAGTTGAAAAATCAAGAGTAGGTGGTAAGGAAGACACTGTAGAAGAGGTTGGTCATGTACGGCAAAATGAAAATGTTGAGGAGGAGGAGCCCATATATGTTCCCGTAGATGTAGAGATTCCTTTAAATACAAATTATGCAGAAGGTGTAGTTTGTGAGGAAGAGAACACTATAGTCCTTTATGCAGGTTCAAAGGGGCAATTATAGGTAGTAGTGAATCAGCTCATGTTTTTACGAATGGATCGGAGTTGCGCATAGGGTATTTATTTGACAACAAAGAGGATGTGGTGAGGAAGCTAAAACTTGTTGCCGTGAGACGTAATTTTGAGTTCATCATCAAAAACTCTAATTCATCAGTTGTGACGGTTGCATGTCGTGATCGAAAGTGCAAGTGACGGGTTTATTATAGAAGGTTGACGGAATCCAAAAAATTTATTCTTAGCACATATACCCGTGAGCACACATGTGGTTTGGGACATATTTCAGGTGAGCATCGACAAGCCTCCGCTGATGTTATTGGACAATTTGTCAAAAGTCAGTTCGTTGAAGGGAAAAATCCATCTTCTAAAGACATTCAGAGACTTATGCGCACAGAGTTAGGATGTGCTGTTAGTTACTGGAAATGCTGGAAAGGGAGACAACATGTACAAGATTTTGTGAGGGGCACGCCAGAGCACGGGTACGCAGTATTAGAAGCGTACCGTTATATACTTGAGTTGACAAACCAGGGTAGCAAGATGACTTTAAAGTGGGACAAGAATATGATGTTTAACTATTTTTTTATTGCTTACGGTTCTGCTATAAGGGGTTTTGTAAACATGAGAAAGGTGTTGGCTGTTGATGGTTGCTTTTTAATGGGAAAGTGTGAAGGTACATTGTTGGTGGCCACTGCACAAGATGGCGAGAATCACACATATCCCATTGCATGGTGTGTGGTTGACTCTGAGAATGACAAGTCGTGGACTTGGTTTTTTCAGCAATTACGTACGATAGTGCCTAACAGTGACGAGTTGTGCATAATATCCGATAGGCATAACTCTATAAAGAAGGGGATTGCTACTATTTACCCTCAAGCACATCACAGATTCTGTATGAGGCACCTTGGTGAGAACATAAAAAAAAAGTTTAAGTGTGTTGGCCTGCTTCAGACATACTACATGGCAGCAAAAGTTTATCGAGTTGATGAGTTCGAGGAGCACTTCTGACAAATCCGAATCAAAGATGATAGAACTGCTAAGTATCTTGAGCATGATGTTGGTTTTGAGAGATGGAGTAGAGCTTACTTTCCTGGAAGAAGGTCTGATGTCATGACCACGAACATAGCCAAGTCCATAAATTCGAAGTTGTTAATAGAAAGAAAGTTTCCAATAGTTTCCCTTTTTGATGCAATCCAGAGGACATTGTCACGGTGGT